TCTTAACCCTGACTTTTTTAAACAGCATGTGTGTGTGGTGTGTGTGTGGTGTGTGTGTGTGTGTGGTGTGTGTGTGTGTGTGTTCTACAACCTGCGGTGAACGCGTATTAACGCTGCATGTATGTGTTACTCCAGTTCATGTATAAACACGTAGAAGCGTGTTATGTAGACCTACTGGGATGTTCTACAATACTACACGTGTATTGTCTCCAGCACATGTACAAGCTGATACAACCTACGTATATATACCCACTTACTCCACAAGTTCATTATTATTATATTACGAGGCTCATACGATAACGTTAAACTTGCAAGGTTTGTACAGCACCTGGGGAGCGGGAAGTGACCAAGTTTGATCAGAGGGCTTTGGAGGGTAGCTCTGTTTCCTTAGATCAAGAGCCATTCCCCAGCTTCATGGCACAGATGTAGTAAGTATTTGCCTGATGTGGTAATTACTGTTCAACTGTAGTAACTACGTGCCTGCTGGGGTAATTACTACAAGTGTAGTAACTACTTGCCAGCTACAATGATCCTGACAGTATCTGGCAAGTCCTTCCAGTTGCGACCAACTACTTGGCAGCGTCAGTCTCCCGGGAGGTGAGTGTGGCATCATGGACAGCATTCATGAGAGCACATCTGAGGCGGCCACGCTCCAGAGCATGTACACCCTGGATACTGCAACCTGTCAACACATTACAACACAGAGATCAAGAGTGACATAATATATCCAGAGGAAAGCAGTTAGTCTGTATGGGTGGTCATACAGAGCCTGGGAAAGGGGAGTTTTATCAGGCTTGATCTAAGGAAACTCATAGCGTTTTAAATTCTTTGGATCAACGCATTTTCTTGAAGGGAATTATACTTTAGTCATGATAAGGAACTAGCCGAGAAAACTATAATTTTAAGTCAACTCAATGTGTTGTTATTATAATCGAAAAGAAGCGCTAAACCCACTAAAGTCAAGGTGTGTTTGGGACTCGAACCCGAGGCAAGGCAGACCTAAAGGACTATGAAGGCTGCAATAAAACCCATCCCTAGGAGTGTTCGCAGGTTACAGGCTAATTTCAGCTGCAAATTTTTAAAAGAATCATCTAAACATGAGCTACAATAAAATGTGAATAGTATTCTGGTTTACTATCGTTCAATTTAGCGTTTTATGGACAGTGACATGGATAGTGACACTGAAAAGACGCGATAGGTCTTGTTACCGGTCATGCTGGAAGAATCATATTGTAACCTTTATGATTTAGTGAAGAAGAGGGCTTGCCTGGTCGTTTAGGGTTGGTGAAAAAGGCATAAATGCAGAGGCGCCCTTCATTTGTACGATGTATCGCCCAATACTAGGCTTTTATTGAAGTGCATCTTGAAAAAGCAGTGTTGGGTGAAATCTTGCACAAATAAAATCTGTTTCGGTAAGTGTCAACATGTCATTTATTGTCTAGCTAGTTTCAGAGCTGCCTTGCCACCGGTTCGAGCCTGTACTCATACCTTGTGGTACTTGCAACTGACTGACCTCCAGGAGAACATACATCGTCCTTGAGTTGTCCAGGATGTTTGCCTGTAGTCAGTACCATCTTGGCTGACCCCTGGACACAGAGTGCTAATATAAGATGAACTTCATTAACATGAAGAATAATTCACAAGCCACACATAAAAGATAATCTTACTGACATTATAAAGTCACAGGTTGTGCCAAGTATTCCGGGCAGCCGTAAAATAACTTCTTATAACATATTACTAGTGGAAGTTTTGTAATGGTTGGAGTTTTGAATAACACAGTTCGGTATAACATTTGTGAAGGTTATCACGAATTTTGGTTAAATACAAATTTAGATTCTAATCTAAGTTTCAGCACTTCCCAGAACATACAATAAACTGAAGCCACAAGCAATGCACAGCATCTCAGGCAAAACTTACCCTAGACTTTACTTAAAATTTACTCAATTTATAATAAAAATCACAGTAAGAAGATACAATTGTTAAGTTTACTAGAGTAGCAGCAGTTACCTAAATTACAATAGATAATATAAGACGGTATATGCTTCTAATAATATATGAGAGTTGAAGGAGAGTTGGAAGAACAGCGACACAACGGGATGACAACAGCGACACAACGGGATGACAACAGCGACATTCAGGAGACGAGAGTCAATGTTTACCTGGAGAGAGTTCCGGGGGTCAACGCCCCCGCGGCCCGGTCTGAGAGTTTGTATCAGAAAAGATTCGTATCAGTGTTGGAGGACAGATAGAAGAGTTAGTTATGCACAAGGATAGTTGGATGACAATATATATTTTAAATAAAAATGAAATATATTCCACAAGGACAGTTGATTGCAATAATGAAATTGACTAAAAACAACAACGTCTTGTTTAACCTGTCAGTCAGTTCAGGTCAGGTCAGGTCAGGTCAGGTCAGGTCACAAAGTCAGAGGTGTGGGTGCTCACCATCATGGTGTGGGCTGCTAACTTCAGTGCCAGGTGCCTGGGTAGGCCCATCTTCACTCCCCCATCTGCCAGGGCTTCTATCACCACGTACATCTGAACACAAGGACAACCAGACACAAAAATATATTTATGGTTCAACACAGTCATCGAAACACGTGGAGGGACGGTACATGATGAGGTATATGGACAGAAATTAACATGTATAAGAAGCCATTATTATATCAAAGTTTCACTCAAAGTAGAGTTTGATCCAAGAAGAGAACGAATCAGAAAAGGTTGAGGGGTGACTTACGTAGGCAGGTCCGGCACCACTGAGACCAGTGACAGCGTCGAGGCAGGTCTCAGGAACCTCGTCACACACACCCACCGATGACAGCAGTCTGGGGAAGATGCGTCAGTGACATACTAACTAGTTAAGATGAGTTTCAGAACAAGCATTTAACAGATGGTTAATGCGATTCAAAGCTTAGTGACTACACGAAGGTTAGTAAGGTTTCATGTCCTCTATTCACCACCAAAGAATACTTGAACCTTAAATCTCTAAAAATAGAGGATTAAAGTAAATTCTTCTCATATATACATTGAGAGACGTGCAGCTTACCCTGTATATAAAGGGTAAGCTGGGTAAGCTTCATAAACGTTTATCAAAACAACGTTTAGCTCTGTGTAGAGATATTTTACAAAATGCGTTCAATCCATATGGGTTACAAAGCGACAAAAGGCTAAGAGATGCCTAGTGGACTAAGAGTAGTAGTGTAATAAGGGAAACAGAAGAGATAGCAGGGAAAGCTGGAGTTGGCGTAATAAATCCACTCCAATCGAAGTCAAAGAACGCATCTGACCTAAAAGTAGAGATTTAAGCATATGGGACAATGAAGTAAAAGGTGTTACTGTTAATATCACTTGACATGGTACTCAGAAAGGTGCCGGACACCTCTCCATAAGGTCAGTTCTCTTCAACTTTTAGGCAATAGGAACATAGAACGTACAGTGCCGCTGTGCAATGAAGCAACTCGGGACAGTGTTCAGTTATGTCTACATACCATGACCAACCGCAGAAGACCGAAATTAACTTACTATGAAGTAAGCAAAGACCGTAACCTCCCTCCCCCATCCCACCATCACTACAAAATTCGCACTGCTGAATGTATCCAACTTTGTTAAGCAAGAAAACCTGCCATCAGGGAACCTTGTGTGACGAGAAATTAAACATGTTCAGCAACTGGGAATTTTTATGTAAAGTAAAAGGACACAAGTGCAACTAATGTGACATTTATTGTGGCAACGTTTCGCTCTCAGGAGCTTTATCAAGCCATTACAAACAATACATGGACACAGAGGGTATAATAAAGGTCAGAGTGAGGTGAATACTAGTGAGGTACCATTTCGATGTTCACTAGTGGTAGTAGTTGGGAAGTTTCGCCAACGGAGCGATTTTGTCAGTTCAATGCGAAGATTTTATATGATGACAGTGGAAGAGGAGGCATTCAGATCCACAGCTTTGCAGAACTATGTTCTGAAAGTTGGTGGATGAGGTAATCAGTCGTTCAGCCTGGATACAAGTCACGTCTCTTGATAAAGCTCAACTCAGAGCGAAATGTCCTACTGAAAGCTTCTACTGAAACTTGCGCTTTGACGTTGTAAGTGTGGAGGAAAGGATATCTTCCCAGCTCGTATGTTTTTGTTTCGTGAAGAGACCTTCATGACTGCTCACATTTTTCTGGTCCGGAGCCCTGTGCATACATGTCTGTACCTCTATTATGTTGTGATCTTTGATAGCTATATTACGCATCAGATCGACATTGTTAGTGAAGATGAGGTCCAGCGTATTTTCTAGTCTTGTAGGCTCTACTATTTGCTGGTTTAAGGTGAATTTGCTGCAGATATTTGAAAGTTCGTGTGTGTGTGAATTTTCATCTGAGCTGCCTCCCGGGGTGATCTCTGCTAAAACATTGTTTGCTATACTCCTCCATTTTAGGTATCTCAAGTTGAAATTTCCTAGTAATAAGATGTTTGGGGCAGGAGTTGGGAGATTTTTCAGTCAGTGGTCAATTTTCTCCAGCTGCTCCTGGAACTGCTGGGAAGTTGCATCTGGAGGCTTGTATACCACCACAATGACAAGGTTTAGGTTTTCAATCTTTACCACCAAAACTTCAACTACATCATTTGAGGTGTTTAGTAGTTCTGTGCAAATGAGCGACTCTGACATATAGGCCAACCCTCCCCCCCCCCCCTTGTTGCCTATTTAGTCTGTCGCATCGGAATAGGTTATAACCTGGGATCCATATTTCGTTGTCATTAATGATCCTTTACGTGGGTCTTTGTGAATGCTGCAAACATTGCATTTGACTCCTTGAGCAGTCCCTTGATGTAAGGAAGTGTTTTTTGACGGCTTTAGACCCTGTATGTTTGCAAAGACAAATAATGTTATATTGGTGGAATTTAGGGATGGGGGTTTTATTTGCTGGCTCTAACATCTGTTGTTCTGGAGTAGAGGCCAGTTGTCCTTGCCTCTGCTCCAAAAGTGTTTTCAGTTGGTGTAGGATTATTGTCATTTCTTGCCAGTCTTTTTTTTTCTCTTGTGGTGATCTGTCCTCTGAACTATATTGCAAGTTATATTCTGTTTCGTCAAGTTGATTGTATTCCCTGTTTTACTGCTTTTGTGTACATCTCCCCTTATCTAAACCCAATAGTGTTTTCCTGTTCCAAATATATTATTGTACAAGGACTTAATAATAAACTGTGTGAGTAGAATAGTACTATTCACTGTCCCCGTTATTTATTCCTATTTCTTATTCTTTATTTGTTTATACAAGGTGGAGTGAGTGAATAGTGGGTTGAGTTATCTGTAGTGAGTAGTGTAGAGTTAGTGTCGTGGTGGTCACCACTGACCTGTCATACCTCCCTCCTTCCCTCTCGCTTCTGTCTCCCTCCTATTCCCTCCCTTTACTCCCCAATTATCCGTTCGTTCCATAACCGTCCTACATGACAAGAGCTGGGTATTATGGTAGTAGCCTGGGTACTTACCTGTGTGAGTGAGCTGGGTATTATGGTAGTAAAACCTGGGAACTTTACCTGGGTTTGTGTGGTGAGCTGGGTATCCTGGTAGTAGCCTGAGTACTTACCTGTGTGTGAGCTGGGCATCCTGGTCAGTAGCGTGGGCACCTCTTGCAAACACTGACGCTCCCATCATGACCAGGGCAGGAGTGTTGGGCATGACCCTCACCACCCGAGCCAGCGGGGGCAGAGCTCCCTCCAGGGAGGCTAGGGTCACCCCGAGGGCCACAGAGGTCACTAGGGGCCTGCTGGGCGTCACGCAGGACTTCAGATCATGCAGGACCCGAGACACCACAGCCGGCTTGACACACACGATGGTTACGTCACTGTCGTAGGCTGCCTCCTTGTTGTTGTAGGTGGTGTCGCAGCCCATTTCCTGAAGTATGACATACAGTATTCATAAGGAAGCGCTAAACTTGTACGGGGTTATAAACACCTGGGTAATGGGAGGCAATTATGATTGATCCAAGAAATGGGAGAGTGGCTCGAGTTCCTTGGATCGAGACCCTTGCACCAGCATCAAGGCTCCCCTGTAGAAAATTTATAAATTTGAACTACTGTCCCCCGGTGTGTGTGTGTATGTGTGTGTGTGTGTGTGTGTGTGTACTCACCTATTTGTACTCGCCTATTTGTGGTTGCAGGGGTCGAGTCCTAGCTCCTGGCCCCGCCTCTTCTCCTGGTTGCTACTAGGCCCTCGTCTCTCCCGCTCATGAGCTTTATCAACTCGTCTTTAAACTGTGTATGGTTCTGCTCCACTACGTCTATTTTCTAGGCTATTCCACTGCCTTACAACTCTATGACTTGAAGAAATACCCTTTCCCACTATCTCTCTGACTTTATTTGTGTCCAACTTCCAATTGTGGGCCTCTTTTCTGTGTGTGTGTGCGTGCGTGTGTGGCGTGTGCGTGTGCGTGTGCGTGTGCGTGTGCGTGTGTGTGTGTGTGTGTGTGTGTGTGTGTGTGTGTGTGTGTGTGTGTGTGCGCTCCGCGGCTGCCGCCCCGCCCCCCCCCCCTCTTGTTTTGTTAAACCACTCAGTATTTCTCTCAAATATTAAGGATCAGTTACTTACCTAAGATACTGTTTCTTTTCAGTTATCAATAAATGCAATATTAGTTTAATTTATCGCCGAGTTGAACTGAAACAAAATATTAATTAATCCTTCCGTCACCTGACAACTCATTATAATTTGGATACAAATCATCAACTTTATCATCATATTGATCATCGTTTCAAAAGAATATTCACTCTTTAAACAAGAGTTTTGCTGCTGCTTCCCTTCAAGACAAGTTACGTCTGTGAAGTTGACTATCACAACCTAAGTTAAAAAGAAAGTGAAAGCAGGTTAAGAGTGCAGGGGATATGCATGTTGCACTGTCCTGGTGCCATCACACTGGACCAGAGTGCAGGGGATATGCATGTTGCACTGTCCTGGTGCCATCACACTGGACCAGAGTGCAGGGGACATGCATGTTGCACTGTCCTGGTGCCATCACACTGGACCAGAGTGCAGGGGATGGGAATCTGTTATGGCATGGTAGGGCACTGTTCCCTGGTGCCATCACACTGGACCAGAGTGCAGGGGATATGCATGTTGCACTGTCCTGGTGCCATCACACTGGACCAGAGTGCAGGGGATATGCATGTTGCACTGTCCTGGTGCCATCAAACTGGACCAGAGTGCAGGGGATATGCATGTTGCACTGTCCTGGTACCATCACACTGGAACAGAGTGCAGGGGACATGCATGTTGACACTGTCCTGGTGCCATCACACTGGACAGGATGCAGGGGACATGCATGTTGCACTGTCTTGGTGCCATCACACTGGACCAGAGTGCAGGGGATATGCATGTTGCACTGTCCTGGTGCCATCACACTGGACCAGAGTGCAGGGGATATGCATGTTGCACTGTCCTGGTGCCATCAAACTGGACCAGAGTGCAGGGGGATATGATGTTGCACTGTCCTTGGTACCATCACACTGGAACAGAGTGCAGGGGGCATGCATGTTGCATATTCCTGGTGCCATCACACTGGAACAGAGTGCAGGGGACATGCATTTTTGCACTGTCCTGGTGCCATCACACTGGACCAGAGTGCAGGAGGATATGCATGTTGCACTGTCCTGGTGCCATCACACTGGACCAGAGTGCTGGGGATATGCATGTTGCACTGTCTGGGTGCCATCACACTGGACCAGAGTGCAGGGGACATGCATGTTGTAGCACTGTCTTGGTGCACATCACAACTGGACCAGAGTCAGAGGACGTGCATGTTGCACTGTCTTGGTGCCAATCACACTGACCAGAGTGCAGAGGATATGCATGTTGTACTATCCTGGTGCCATCACACTGGACCAGAGTGCAGGGGACATGCATGTTGCACTGTCTTGGTGCCATCACACTGGACCAGAGGTGCGGGGATATGACATGTTGCCACTATCCTGGGGCCAATCACATGGACCAGTGGTTTATTCATGAGGGAAGATATGACCAAGTCCAATGTGAGAACTCAAGTGTTAAATTAGACTCATCATTTTCAGCCATATTTTATTATAATCAAAAAGAAGCGCTAAGCCACAAGGGCTATACAGCGCTGCAGGGTAGGGAAGGAAGCGAGGGTATTGGATGGCAGAAGGGAGGAGGGATGATCAGTAGGTTACAGAAAACAGCGGGGCAGGGATAGTTACGGGGGTAGAGGGTAGCAAGATTTGAAGTAGAAAGGGCTGAAAGGTATCAGATTTTGTGAAGTCAGTTCAGTTGTTTCAAAAAGTCAATGAGAGAGTCTGATGAAAGGTGGGCCCATCAGCGAAAAGGGAAGGTAAAGAGAGAGCAGCAGAGCAAAGACGACGAGGGGTAAATTTGCGTGCTCGTTGATAAAGTGGGAGTCAACAAAATGTGGCTGATGTAATGGAGTTGGCAATTTACAGGGAGCGGGGCTCTCCTGAATATCCATGAGTAAGACGAGTAGGCCCAATGGGGAAAAAGGGGAGAGAGTATTTCCCAAAACCTCGACCTGGCGTAAGAAGAGGCCGTAACCTATCTCAGTTTAATGTTTGAAGCTTGTCGAGCATAGTGCCAAGTTGTTGCCAAGGGTGTGAAGGTGGGAAGTATTGCAGCAAAATAGTCCGTAAATGGAATACCTCTATATGAAACTGGTAGGTATGTACTGCTGCCCGCGCGCAGTGTGTGCCTTTTCATTCCCCTGTACGTAAAAACATGACCAGGGACCTAAAAAAACAATATCTTTAGTTTGGAAAAAGATGGCATAGAAAGTTGGATATGGGGGGGACAAAGGGGTGGGGGGTTCAAATTTCTTATAGCCTGTAAAGCACTAAGGGGTTGAGAAAACCCACAATTGATGACACAGGATAGATGAATATGGATAAGTGCTGAAGGATGGTTACAATTCAGATTTTAAAAATATACCCGAAGATAGTAAATCCCCTTGTATGTGCTGTCGGAAACACTGTTTGCGAATCCTACGCCGTCAGAGACTTGAGCATCTAGTACACGCAAGATGAAAAATGAGAGGGGAAAAGTGGTAAAGAAAAAGAGGGGAAGGCCTGACGTTGGGCTTTCGAACAAGGGAGGAGAAAGAACAGACCAAACGCTGGAAATTTCCCCGGGGGGGGTAGAGAAAAGTGAGTTTGCTACTAAAAATTGAAATGTGGTAACTAAAGAGAAGACAAGAGGATGGGGCAAAGGGAGGGACGGAGAAAACAGGGGCGGCGAAAAAATAAAGAATGTCTATTATCAGTGCCCTTTCTAAAAATGGAGGTTGCGGGTCATGAGGGTAATAGTAGCGAAGGAAGGGGATACGGCGATGGAAAAGGATGGAACTTGCTTCTGCAAAGGGCTTCGGGGGGGAAGAGCAAAAAGCCCAAGGCATAACGTAATCCTTGGTGATGAAGGGGGTTAAGGCTAGAGAGAGTGGGGGAGATCCCGCTGAAAGATTGGTCACCATAACAAGTTTCGATAAAATGGGGTGGAATGTAGGGAAGGGGGTTCGACGATCAGCTCCCTAAAGATGAGCGGGGTTTTTAAAAAGATTCAGCCCGGTTGTGCAATTTGCCTTCAGAGAGGTAATTGTGAGGTTTCCGGTAACCTCGGTCAAGGCGGCCCCAAGAAACTTGTTGTATCACGTTGGGGATATGGGATGATGGGGAGACAGGCGTTTGAAATTTATTTAGGGGGGTTTTAGTACTGGAAAAATTTAACCCCTGTGTGGTGGCCCCCAAAAGGAAAAAACCCGGTCGGCTGTGGGAGAAACTGTAATGAGATGCGTCAGCGCCGCAAGGAAAAAGCGAAAATATAAAATAGAGTGTGACAAATATTTGATGGAAGACTAGAGGCCAAAACATTAAAAGCAAGGAGAAAAAGTGTTGTGCCAGAACATCCCCGGGGGACACCTTCAGCTTGGAGAAGTCCGGGGAGAGCACATTTTTAACCCAAAAAATGGAAAGCCTTAGTTAAAAAATTCTTAAGGGTTTTGGTTAGATTGCCCCGAAAAAAGGCCCAAAGGGGTGGGCTTGGGGTAAATATTATACCTCCAAATTGTGTCAACGCCTTTTTAAAGGGCAAAAAAAAAAGGCAATTCTGAGTGGTTTTTCGCAAAGGCATTGAAATACGTATCCAAGCATAGTAAGGGGGGTTTTGGGAAACGTCCTTAGAAAGCCCTATTTTGAGTGGAGAGACGTTGTGTCCTAATACCACAAAGTTATTTAAGGGGTTCCATCACTTTGCAAAAAGCAATGGAAGGCAATGGGACGTAGTGGGAGGCTTATGTCCCGTAGTGCCCGGTTTGCAGAAAGGGAGACAAAGGCGGATTCCCCAGTGTGGAAAAAACTCCTTTTGACCAAATAAGACATGCGCGCGTTTTTCAACGTACTAAACGAGCCAAGTAGGGGGACCCCAAGGCACAAAAATTTCTGAAAAAGGCCTCCCCAAATTTTGGGGTATACAATTGGGAAGCTGCTTTTTAAAACGGAAGGAGAAGAGGTTTTAAAAGTCATTGATGGGGGAAAAAAAAGGGGAACCCTCTAAAAACAGTTAATTTGTGAGAAAAGGGTTTCCCCTTTTTGCTGAAAAAAATCCCCGGGGTGGATGCGAAGAGGGGGTGTTTTTTAAAAAGGGGAAGTAAAAATGTTTGGGGAAAAATGTTCACTGTAGTAAGCCCAGGAGAAAAGCCCAATGAAGTTTTAAGGGGTGGAAAAAAAGAGCAGACTGAGGATCGATGAAGGGATTTGTGAGCCGGGGGCCCCAAAGGGGTTTGGGGGTTTTACCTGTATTTAAAAAAATGGGGGGGTGGGGGGAAAGGGAAAACCCTCTAATGAATGCCCCCGGGGAATCACGGGACCCCCCCCAGAGGAAATGGTGGGCTTTAAAAAAAGCCAA